TTTTAGCGGGGTGGCAAAAACCTCTACTACTGTGCATAAAAGGGCCTAACCTTTTATCATAGACAAAATTTTCCCTATTTCCCTCAAAAAAAAATTTTAAGAGCTTTTAAAAAGATCTTATAATGAAGTGTTTGTGTTGGATACGGTTATTGGCTTTTCTAAAAGTAGTAAATTTAAAATTCCCATGATATTTTTATGAATAAGGGAACCGTTGTGGTTTGATTGTTTATGGAAACATTTTTTATTTTATACTACGCTATTAATGTTTTACTAAAAACACATTTTACTACCCTTTCCTCCCTCTAGCAGCATACCTAGGCACTCATTGAACCTAATATTATTTAAATAAATTAAGGCCTGCACACACCGGAGTGTTGGCGGTATAGGCACAATGTTTCATCCCCCCCATCCACTATCATCATCGCGGCGGTATAGCTGGGGCGTTCTCACCAGAGCGATTCCGCACCGCAGCGATGACAGCAGAGTGTAGTAATTTTCCGTCCTTATTTATGAGTGTGCAGTCAACAAGTTCAGTGTGTTTTTAGTTAGAAATATGTTTACATGAGACGACAAGGAAGAAATTTTGCTATTGTTTGCTTTGGCTGAATACAACAATCGCAAAAATAGGGAGTGGGTATATGACATGAACAAAAGGCGATTTGAGCATGGCGAATACCATACATTGATGCCTGAACTTATAAAAGACAAGAAACACCAATGCCAGGCTCATCCAACCGGCACCGCTAGGCGGTGAAATGGAACATGCTGAATCTCAGCGAAGTGGTGGTACAGGCAGTATACCGCTACTGCTCCATTGTGTTCGCTTGCATTTACTTCCATTAAATCACCGTGCAAATATCGCACCGCTACCGCTCCGGTGTGTGTAGGCTACACTTTAAAAGTGAAAATTAATCTGGCTTTAAATGGAAATTCGCTTGGTCTGCAGATTTGCTGAGTGGGGGTAAGTTTTTGTTATATCCAAATTCATTTATACTTATCAAAACTTTTTTAAAGAGCGTAAAAAACAAAAAAAATGTTTAGTGTATGAAAGTGTACAGATGAAATTACCAATATGGGCCTCTTTTCCCCAATAGTTCTAATGTACTTAAAGTTAATCCTTCACTATTGATAAGATTTGGAGTAATACATTAGACACTCCATTAAGTTGAGGTTTAACATTGATAATAGACCATAATATAGAGCGGACACACAATGCAAGAGTCTGAGGGTTTTTTCACTTGTGTCCAGCCGCTGACATCAAGTTTCCTGTGGTCGCGCCCCATAATACCATTGGGTCTATTTCATCAGTTTGCGTTGGGACACCGTAGAATCAATAGCAATACTATATTAGCCTGAAGTAATGTTTAAAACATTTCTAGGCTAGAACTTATTTTCCTAGGGTGCTAGGTTTGAACTCGGGATTGATTTTCACATTGCTTCAGGCTATACCAGGGGTTGCGGCATTATCACTTGGATAAAATAAAAAAATTTGGTGATTTGACAGGATTCGAAGAACGGGGGATCGAAACAAATTCAAAGCAATCACTGTTAATGATATTCCACTTTTGATATGATTGGTTGTAACAGAGGAAACATATTATACAATATGATGAGTTTCTCAAATTATCTTAATCAGACTATGATAATGGGCTTTCACATGGGGTTGCACTGGGTAAATGTAAGTTTTTGTCATTTTTATGCATTGAAAACCTAAAAATGACATGGGTTTAGTGGATCTGTTTGAAAGGAGCTTAAAATATGAACAAAGTACAGTGTTTTCTAACCCATTGTAACATTGTTTTAGCTTAAATAAAACACTAGGCTATATATAATTGACTCTATATAGGCAATGGTTATATAGGTAGTCATTGTCTTAAAATCATTTTTTCTACACACTGGGAACACATTGGTTATTTTTAGTATATGATGGGTTAACCGAAAAATTAGTTATCCAAAACAGCTGTCCCCTTTTATTTCGGTTAACCGGGGTTCTACTGTAGTATATCACATATTTTATTCCTTGATAAAGGATTACGTATGTATCGGTAAAAATAGTATCCCATGATATTTAAAGTGACCACTTTTGTTATAATTGGAGGTAAGAGAGTGAACACATATCCATAATATGATGAGTGTAACAAGTCTTTTTGTTCAGACTATGAAAAAGACTATTACAGAGGGTTGTATGGCGTAAAATATGATGTTTACCATTTTATACTCTGAAAACTTCAAAATTCCATTGCATTAGGTAAAATAGCTTAAACCAAACTAAGTAGCATATAGTATCTTGTATTCCCTTTCATGGAGGGCTGTGGTGCAAATATGAGTGTTTTTGGATTTTTTACTCTGAAAACCTCCCAATTCCACATAATAACAGAAACTTTTTAAAATACTGTAGCTAAAAAACAAACAAAACAAATACTTATTGACATAATTTATTTTGTGATAAAGGGTTAGAGAGAATATTGCCAATACAGATTCCCATGAGAATGTACCATGGTTTTGAGTCCTTGTCACTAAGGATAAAGAGGAGTTGACATGGAATCTTGATAACGCTATTATTGTAATTTGGTTTAATACTATACAATAAACACTACCTCAGTCAGTTGAGTTTTACTAATTGTCTTGATTAGATCATGTGAACTGGTTTTCATGTGGTTTTGTGGGGTGAATATGTATTTGTTGCATATTTATCATGAAAACATCCAACAAAGTTCAGATATTTTCTGTTCTACACATTCTATAGAGACACCAAGAGAGTTATCAAGACCCATTTTCTTTAGTTTGCTGATTGTATAAAACTGTTTGTGGAAGGTTGCTTCGCTTCATGATTTTGAGTCTCAGCTCAGTTAAGACTTGACCAAAGATAATGGTGAGTCCCACCAAGAATAAGATGAAAATGTTAGCATCAAAAAAGTTCTCTGGATATTGAGTATTTACTACATTCTTATTATGACTCGTCATATGAGTTTGGGCCTGACATTAACCAAATCCGCACCAAGACCTATGGCATTCTCAAAATGATCTGCTCTGCAAGACACTGAGCATCCATGCTGATCCGATCCATGCCTGCTAGATCCAGTATAATTTCTATGTGTGGCAACAACTAGGGTATAATGTGTATTCTGGTTACCCTTACCAGTGCAGCCTTATATTCACTGTGACACTATCATCGTTTCGTCCCAATACGGGAAGAATGAGCGTACGCCTAGTTTAAAAGTTAGCTACAAACAAATTTTTGACTTGGTTGAAATGAAATATTTACCATTTGAATTTGGGTTGGCATAAATATTAGAATGGAAAATAAACGGTATCAGCATTCTGACACATACTTTCTCCCATAAGTTTGTCAACAACCTTGATCATGTGTAAGCGGTGAGAGTAAATATACGGAAATGGGATCTGTAAAATTTTCTTCAGAATTTAAAGGACTATAACATACTAAATTTTTATCAAAATCGTTCGAGCCAATTTTGGAAAAATCTGATTTTCCGTTATTTTATGGGGTTTTTATGGGAAAATAACAACTTTTGCCGTAATTTTTACCGTAATTTTTACAGAGATGGGATTTGTACCATTTTGTTCAGAATATAAAGGACTATAACATACTAGTTTTTTATCAAAATCGTTAGGGCCATTTTTGGGAAGATCCTATTTTTCCGTTATTTTATGGGGTTTTATGGGAAAATCCCCATTAAAAATCAAAATTTCAAAAAAATGCTGGAGATACCATGGATAAGAACCTACATACCAAATTTCATTGAAATCGGACCACAGGTGTAGTCTCTAGCTCTGTACACATCCAGACACACAGACACACACACACACAGACATCACTTCGAAAACCACTTTTTTGGGGTCCAGGGGGACCCAAAACGAATATATCCACTCAAAACTCAAACTCGAAAATTTTGACGAAAACAATACTTTCTCCATATACTATGGTATAGGGGGAGAAAGTAAAAGTGAGAGAGCCTGGATATTTTTATATACTAAAAAGAAAACTGAATTAACACTATGCTGCATTTTTTAGTTATCATTGAAAGACCTGATTTGCAAACTATGGAAACATAGGAAAGTCATAGAACACCACCAAGGAGAAGATATGGAAATGTTTTTTTTATATAAATTTTTTTTTACAATTTACGGAATGTACGTTTTTGAAACAATTTTATCAGTAAAGGACAGACTTCATGATTTGGAACGAGTTGGGGATAGTCATAATTATTTCATCAGAAATCGGGAAAACCTTGCAATCGGCCACCATAGTCTACAACTTTTTGAGAAAAAACCCATACATGCGGGATCAAAGCTTTATAATAATCTCCCAATCGAAATTAAATCAGAGACTTCCAAAACAATATTTAAAAATAAATTAAAAAGATTTCTCATCAGCAAGGCTATTTTTTCTTTTGAAGAGTTGAATAGTCTTTGAGGTCAAAAACAAATTCAGGATATGTATTTTTTGTTAACAATTTATTCTAAAAAAAATGTAAGTTTGTGAAATTTTGTTTTTACTTTCTTATGTTAGAAATGTATTTAATAAATATTAGGCCTACTTGCAGCTAAACCGTTGACACTATTCAATGTATTTTGTACAAGAGATGAATAAAGTAGTTTTGAATTGAATTGAATTATAATTGTTATTATAGACAACCTATAAATGTGGCTATGAGTAAGGCTATTTGTAGAAAACACTAAAAAACAAGATCAGCTTTTGAAAAATGATAAGATATTTACATGAAATGTTGATTGTCTCGATCTTTTATGTACATCTTGAGTATTTCCATAATCTTTGATTTGAATCTTTTAAAGTCATCAGAAATTATGGCTGTTATTCGTTTTAAAAATAACGCCTGTAATACTTAGCAATTGCTCGAATTCGAGCAACCGGTACACTAGTAGCCTTTAAATTCCTGTCATTGTTAACTGAAAAAATAGGTGATCCAAAACAACTGGAGGAATATAATAATATAATATGACATTTATTTTTGTTCCAGGCTCTCAACAAGTATTTACGAGCTGGAAAAGTTCCGACAAATAATGAGGTAGCGAGAAAGTCATTGTACCAACTTAAACTAACAATCTGTGGTTATTTAATGCTCTTGTTATTTATTTACAATTTTATTCAATGTGATTATTAATTATATTTATATGAGTGTACAAAATATTTATCGTCGGTTCTTGGGTAGTCATGTAAATTATGTTAGTGTAATATTTTAGTCATATGTAAATTGTAAAATTTATAATCAAATATTCCCTGAACCTTTTCAAACAAGTGTAATAGACGAATTGCAGTAGGTTATGTAATGTATGTAATATAAATATGTCAATTTCCGGGTAATATTAAATAGAGTAATTACTTAATCAGCATGAAATGTGTCTTTGCAGCATTCAGATCACTCTAGAAAAGAGTGTAAGAGTAATCTTTTTTTTTAGTAATGACATCCTTTTGTCCAAAGTAGGCCTATACCTACTAAGCAAATTCTCTGAAGAAATATTTATTTTTTGAATTTTTTAACACTGTATTATGAGATAGAATCTTCAACTTTAGAAAGGTATTTTTCTTCTTCTGAACAGCTATTGTGTAGGCCTATCTTTAACCTAATCTAGATGAACTATAATCATTAAGATAATTTGCTTATTTTCTGGCCTGCCTGGTATAAAATAAGCTACAAATCATTAAAAATATACAAACTCAGGGAGTAGTTTCAAGAAGTGGTAACATATTTGTTTTTATAAAATGCTGGAGACATAAATCTTAAGCTGTGTTGCCAAAATATATTTCTCAAACCTACTGCTACTAAATTAGTTGTAGAATATAAATTATATTGTAAAATTTAAGCAAATAACTGGCAGATTTTGAAAATATATGCAAACATTAGGAGGAGTGTTTCTTTGTCCAAAATTATTGTTGAAAGTGTACATCATTTTAGATACATTGTTGTATCAAATTGTAATAACTCTATACTGACTTATCTACATTTTATAATTTTTGATCAGCAAACAGTATTGGCTACAACTGTTTGTGTTTTTTTTATACATTCTGATTATTTTACTTATTGTGAGTTGAACCTGAAGATTATTCGTCTAAGGTGCACACAATTTCTTTTTAAGTTTGAAAATTTTTATAAACCAATTCCCTCGATGTGTACAAATTACAAACAGTTTGTATTTTTGCCACTGGCTGTGATACCAATGTCTATTATCTATTGTGTCGTTTGTAAGTATTTCAATACATATACTCCGTTCACAAAATGTAGGCGGTTTGAGGGGTAAATGTTTCAATCCCCTCCACCTCACTGCAACTTTGAAACCACAGCCAACAGCTTATATTGTAAATTGGGCTAAAATAGTGGTGGAGAAACCTTCCCCTTAAACTGCCAAAATTTTGTGAACAGGCTATAGTTCAATATATACACAATTTAATTGAAAATATTAATATTATATACACTTCCCTGAACATATGTAACTTATATTATGTACAGATTTGTGTTAATTCAATTGATTGTGTGTGCGGTGCTGTTATTACTGTAGATAGCGTTGCTTTATTTCTTAGCGACTTAAAACATCACACATTTCTACTTATTTCTTATGTTAGCACTTTAGTATAGTTTTCCTAAGATTGTTTTGTTTTTTGTTAGTCATTTCTTAAACCGTGGTTTTCTGTAAATTGGGAATTGTTTTTTATTTAGTTTTTATCGACACAAATGTTGTATTTTATTTTAAATAAATCTATGTTTGTGATAAATACTGTGCATAACATATTTCAATTTCCCTTAGCAGATGTATTGTTGTGACTAATGTATTATAACTAAAGCAGTTTTGAAGAACTACATTCTGGTTAGGAATCCAACTGTTATATTCAACGTTAATACCTTTTTGAGCAACTCTCCGGCATTTTGTTAGGTATCAGAACTCTTAGTGTTCCTATTTCTTGTCTCTCATGCTCACTCTTATGCTGTACAAAATTGACTATCACCGCTTTGATTGTCAAGTTTGAACCAGCCTAAACATGCAAGAAGTCCTTTAGTTAATCCAACAAGGACATCTCTTTTCACCCCTCTCTTCTGTGTTCAAACAAGAAAAGAAAACCTTATATTTTAAGTCTAGTACGAATGGAGATGAGTGTATGATGAAATACGCCACTATGTGCGTATTTTAACCCAAATATGAGTGAAGGATGAGTGTAGGATGAGTGGTGCGATCTTGTAGTATTGTTAGTGACTAAGGCTGACATATTCCTCAGACACAGCTGGTAATTAATACCCCATACAGCCAATGGCAACTAAGGGTCCTAAAACCTTTATTTCCAATCAAGGCAACACTAAATAAATAGGCCGTAATGCTCCTCTCGCATGACGTCATCATAGGCGACTTCAATGACGTAATGTTATTTTTTTTGTTTCCAAGAAAAAATCAAAACAAGAAGCTGATCACAAACGGCAAACATTACGTCATTGCCGTTGCCTATGATGACGTCATACCAGATGAGCATTACGGCCTGTTTACTTAGTGTTGCCTTGTTCCAATCTCTAGCAAAGCATATGATTTTGCCTGTCCTAAACCATAGACAAAAAGAATTAAATATAGACCGTCAGCCGTGCTGCGGTTACCATAGGTTCCGGTGCACACCGCTGGGAGCGCCGTGTAATTACGTAGTGCTAACGCTGTAACTACATGGCGCTCCCAGCGGTGTGCACCAGAACCTATGGTAACCGCAGCACAGCTGATGGTCTATATTTAATTCCTTTTGTCTATGCCTAAACATTACTTTTCCTAACCCCAAACCAAGTTTCAGTATATGCTCAACAGGAGCACTAAAGTATGTACTATTATATAATAAGTTATTGAGAGAAATATTCTTCAAACAGCTGACTTTTAGATAAATTGCAAATGTGTATTATGATAAATAACTTAAAACAGAGTTACTAGACTATGGAATATTTTAAACCAAGATTTGTATTTTTTTTGCATTATGATGAAAATTATCGTTCATCGCTCGTCACAAAAGATCTATTCCAGGGCTCAATAGTTTGAACCATGATTGGCTTCTATTTGCTCGTAAACCACTTTGTTGTCCTAAAATGGGACTAAAAGTGAAAATTTGCTATTATTGATTTAATATACCTGCATTGCAGTGGATAGAGAGAATTGGTTTACACATCCTAGATTTGGATGATAGATAGAGGCAAACAAAAGTAAAAATGATAAAAGCTTTTAGTATTTATTTTTATTTGTAAATTATAAAACTAAACAATATCTACAAATATTACAAACAAGATTCTTTTTTAATAACATCCAACAAAAGGTTCCACTCTGTTTTTGCGCATGACAAATTTGATCTTTCTATCCATGTCTTCATTGTATATTGACTTACACCTCATGTAGTTCACTCGTCGACGAGTCTAAAAAATGTGAATAAAAATATTATATTACAAATAAGCAGTTTATCAAGACACACAGACCTACAGCACTTGTTTACTAGTACTAGTACAGTTACTATTTTTGTAATGAAGTTGCAAAACAAGACCAGCGGTGAAGTTGCTAACAACACAGTTTTTTCACTGATTGATGAAAAACTATGAATTGAATTGATGAATTAGTGAGCCTGATTTGTTTCAGTACTAATTGGCATAAGTGTAACAATGCCACTGAAAATACTTGTATTATTAGTGATTCAATATGATTGCAGTGGCAATTAACTTCGGGTCACATGGAAAAATCACCAGGCTTTTGAAGACAGAAATTTTTTTTATTCATATGAAGGTTTTTATATAGCTATGCTAGTACTGTACACAAATTCACAAAACTCATACACACATAACTAGAATTCATGACACAACATGTGGGAATTTAGGTTGCCGTAAGTCTTGGACCTTTGCTCTAGCCAGTTCATAAATGACCAGTTGTGTCATGTTTATAAGGGTGAGGTAGTCTTGTGTATTGAGTCATTCGTATTGTAAATGTTTGTAAGTTAGAGGATAACATTATGACAAAATGTGTGTAAGTTATAGGATCACAATGGACAATCTTAATGAAGCAATATGTTAGTCTGTGTGATGTCTGATGAAGTCGAAACTAGTTTCCACCACTACCAAATAGGATTCCATGTAATGCAGATAATTAAACCCCTGGCTACCTACCTACAAGAAAATACCCCCGCTGCAGCAAACCTGCCGACTAAGTGAATTTACCTTTGTCTGAATTGATTTTCAATCATATCTATTTCAATAGCATTAAGGTTTAATGAGTACCTAGGTTTGCTGCTGCAAAGAAACTAATGAAGTGTGGTTTTTAGTAAAATATTAATAGCTTATTTATAAAATCAATAAATTTGCCAAGTTTGATCAAAATATATCAATAAAATACTACTTTGTAAATTAAATTACAGATGTTTAAAAACCCAATTTTGTGCGATTTTTGTCAAGTTTTCTCCCAATATTTATCACATAATCATCTACGAAATAACGAACAGCTGTTCGGACCAAGATTATTTTTTCTAGCTGTCACTGACATGTTTACATTGTATGTTATTTACAAATACAGCAACCATTTCAGATCAAGTTTTGAAAGCAAATCCAAACCAAGTGAGATTAAAAACGTTTTACCTTACATAACGGATTTAATTAATCACAAATGCAATAATGTGTAGGGTAACTGTAAATGAAAATTGAGATTCTTTGTGTATAAAATTGTTCTTGAGTTTTGATAACCGGGAAAAAGACCTTGAATCAGTGTTGTAAATGGCTGGGAAACGGGAAACTTACAAGCGTTACCAATAGCTTACAAAAAAGGTTCCAACTCAATGACGGCACTTCAAAGGCGGTTGTGTAAAGTGTAACGTGACAAATGCAGTGGGTGATTGTAACGGAGGTTTACGGATTATGCTAAACTCGCTTTTCAAATGTATCTTCTCGTCGCTATATGCCGCATCGCTGGATCATACAGGCAATAGACCAATTGCACATCACTTGGGTAAGTACGCCTGCCCAATTATTCATAACAACCTTTTCGATGATGATCCTAGATACCGGTACTTTTCCCTAGAATACATGGCCTACCATACCTACTTAAGAAATAAAATTACAAATGTAAAAAAAACGAACATTGTGTGATTTTTCGCATTTCCTTCTAGTGTTTACTAGATACACCAAACATGGTTTATAGAATACCGTACGTCTTCTATTAAATAACAAAAAGTTGATGGGATAAGGTTGTTTTTTCAAACTGTCACCGATATGTTAACGTTAAAAGTTGTTTTCAAATCATGCAATTAATGGGAAATAACTTTGATTTTTTTATAACATTTAGTGAGAAAATCCAAAACTAAGAGAGATCAATAACCTCGGGACTTGATTTACGCATTTAGCTGGTCGGATGTACTATAGTTCTTAACTGTAAACTTTGGTTTTTGGTACTGGTTCTTTGCCTTAGAACCGGTGGTAGCTACGAGAATAATTTTTACGTACCAACACATCACTATATCCAAATTAGTTATCCAACGATGCATCATAGTCATTATATTGTACCTTATTTATTAAAGTCGTATTCAATTTAATTGATGTCTTACTGTATAAGTTTTGCTTTTTCTGTCTGGATTCCAAAATGTTAGTTTGTGCTAAGAAAATGATAACGCATTTGAGTAAAACATTTGTTGAGCAAACCATCATGAATTGTTTGCGCTTTACGTTGTTTATGTATCAATAGTTCGTGGCCTGTGTGTTGTAAATTACTAAACTAAATCGTATTTAGTACTTCATTTCACATGGTAAGCCGTCATTTCGACATCATTTTGAGTCATCTTCGGACTAAGCAAATAAAAATTGTTATGATCAAGTTTGGTGACACTAAAGTAAATGTAGCTTACTTTGCTTTAGTTAAAGCGTAGTAAATTTCATAATTAAATTCTGTATTGTTGTGTGTATGTCTGTTGGTAGCGCATATTTCTCAGTGTTCCGTACGGACAGGACAAGAGCACCTTTGATAGTAAAAATTTCAACAGGAATGTTTTAATAGAGAGGTTGGGGAAGTATTTTAACTACTTTTAACCATTGGGGAAAGCAGCTTTCAATTATAGGCCTACTTTAGAGCTATTTTTCATAGATCTATAAAGCATTTCTAGCGAACTTCCCTATAGGGAAGTAAGCTATTACCGTAAGTGGCATGGTAAGACCTAGACCCGGGACTGATTTACTTTTTCATTTTGATGTCCCCAGAGGCCAAAAACACCATTCGTTAAAATTTTTATATATGTATATATATACACCTATATGTGTGTCCGTAAACGCGATAACTTGAGTAATTTTTGTCCGATTTAATTTGGTTTAAAGGTGTAAAGCAGGATAAACTTGAATGAGTTCGCAAACCAGCATGATCGGACTATAGGAACGGGGGTTTATGGGGGTTTTATGAAGTAAAAATAGGTTTTTCCCATTTTTGACCCTAAAAACACAAAATTTCACAATTACTTTCTAAACCATTATGTAGAGCTTAAAGAAACAAATAATTTAGTATATTGAAGCGTTATTATGTGCCTAAGGGTTACGGAGAAAATTCAAAAAAATTGTAATTTTAAAATTCCCATGTTATTCTTATGGAGAATAAGGCAACTGTTGTAGTTTGCTTATTTATGAACATATTTTGATCAAATTTGGAAAATACATTAATTTCTTACTAAACTACAGTAGGCCTACCTATTAAGCCTTTACATAAAAAAAAAAACTTTTTTACCCTCCCTGTTGCAGCAAA